ATTTAACACGTTTTCACAAAATCTTAATGTTGTAGTAGCAGCAGTAATCCAGCAGGGGTCAGCGTTTCCCCGCGGCAGCGCCCAAAGGACACACCTCCTCTCTCCCTCCTTCTTCTCCTCCTCCTCCAACTCTCTGCATGTTGCCGCTGCTTCTGTTGCTGCAGCTGGTTTCAGGAAGCGGAAGCAGGAATGTTGGAGTGTTTTTTAGAAAAGTTTGGACACTTCTGACAGTTTGGGCTCAGACTCGATTGAACTCTGGAGAAACGTGACGGTGAGTAACCGGAGCTTGTCTACATGGCTCCACGCCGGGGGTTTGTGTTTGTGTATGTGTGGAGAGTTTTAAACTGCGGCTGCTGTCAGCGAGTCCTTCGAGCCAGGGCTGAGCAGCTGAAACAGCAGGTTGGGCTGGCACAGTTAGGAGAAAAGTTAGTTTAATATTCACAGAGGCTGTGCATGTCGTGAAAATGTGAACTGAACAAAGATTGATAGTTGTAAAGAGACTTTGTTTGAGCGAGTTGTGGTGTTTCTGTGTTGTTAATAGTTACATGTGAAGTGTTGACTAACAGGCTGGATGGCTCAACTTCAGAATGCATGCTGACACATGGGACTCTTCCTCTTAAGTGCAAACTCTGCTGCGTAGCTCAGTTTTAATGCATATAGACTGAGTTTGAAGAGCCTAATTGGATAAATTTAACAGATAACATTTAAGCAATACCCACAAATATAACCTTATAGAAATATTATGAAAGATTTTTAAAGAAAATGTGAGGAAAATAGTTCAAATTAATTTACATCTCAGGTGATTTAACTCTGGAATAAAACACTTGAGGTGTTGTTAGTTTCTACTGACAACTCTTAAGAAATTCCTACATTTCAATGTTTTCAGTCAGATGTTTGTATTTAATGTAAGAGTTCAGCTCAGAGCTCGACCTTTATTTTGTTTAAAGATTTTTATTTGAGGCTCTGACTGCACAAATGTAGATTACTAGCTGAAAAGGCTGGTGAATTTTTAAGACAAGTTTTATTTTTACATTTTCAAACTGCATATTCCTTTCACGGCTTAAAACGTAAACACATTCTTGAACTCTAGTGCATCCAAAAATGTGATTGATTAATTAATCTAATAAACTCGAATATTTCCGATACGCAAGTTTGCTCATCTGTATTTTTAAAGGACTTTTTTGATTTGGTATTTAACCCCCTTACACAACGTTCTCACTGAAAGCAAAGATCCCTGGACTGAGAATCTTTTCGAACCTTGGGCCGTATGTGAAGCTAGGCTAACATTGGCTTCCTTCATCTCTGGAGAAAACTTACAGATCTTCTGTAACCCAACTGCTTTGCATTGAGGCTTGTACTTGTTAGTGATGGGTGTGTTAGCATTGTGCGACAATTTACTCAGCTCTCTCTCAAACTGGATCCTGATTGGAGTCCAGAAATTTATTTATTTAGGTTTTGTTGGCTCTAGTGGCCTTTTTTTGAAAGTAGTTTGACAGGAAGACATGCGGCAAATGTCACCTGTCCGGGAATCGAACCTGCGACCACAGGCCTGAATACATGGGTTGTGCTTTGCCCCTGCGCCACCACAGCACACCAACTTTCATCAACAATAACTAGACACAAGTCATGGACATGGCAGCAATTTTGTGTTGGGTTAAAGAGAAAATGTGTATATCCTTTGGTTTATTTATGTATAATACCCCAAATCTTAACTCTAGGGAAAAAGCATAATTGCACAATTTAACCTTTATGACTTCTTGGATATTCTTCAGACTATAAAAGGTGACAAATGACACATTGGAGTCATTTGTATCCGTTTACCTGTGATGACGTGAAACTGGTGTGAGTAGGACTTTTTAAATTTACGATCAGAATCAATTGAACACATACCTTGAGACGGGTTCCTCAATCAATCCTGGCCAGCTAGGTAGTGAATGACAAACATCTGCTTCCATCAGGTGACGGGATTTGTCCACATTTTTTCACTTTTGATCAATACTACTACATATGCTATTCAGCGTATCAGCACTATTGATTATTTTATTTATTTATTTTTTTTAAGTAGATTTTTCAGCTGGGAGCTTCCGATAGCCCGAAGGCTCAAGAATACTTTGAATCACAAAGTTAACATGCAGGAAGTATCTCCAAAGACAATTGGAGCTTTTTTTTAAGTGTGCTCTGAGTTCTAACTACTTAAAAAAATATATCGTAATTACTTTGTTCATAATGTTACAGTGAGGTTGTTTGATTAGTGTCTCCTGATAACCACAAACTGCGTGAAGGAAATTGGTACGACTTTTAATTTGCTGCCGCACAGGAAAAAAGCAGACGATGGAAAACCTCAGATGAAATACCTGCTTTAAAGTAAAAGACTTAAGGAAACGAGCCAGTGCATAGCTGCGGTTGTGGCAATGTACTGCTGGCTGGTTGTTTTTTTTTTATTGAAGTAACTTCCTTTTCCACCGCTAAACCTGATCTGTACATGAATGTTTATTAAACGTATATTTGTGTTGTCTGTGTAATGGAGACGGCTTTCACATGACGGCTTATCGATGGAGCTGTATTTGTTTAGCAAGGTTTCTGAAGGTTACACCAGCTGGAACGGTTTTTATGGGAATCGACTAACAGTAAAACTGTCTGAGATAAACATACAGAAGAAGTAAACTCAATAGAGTTTGCTGTTTTTCTTTTTTCTTTTTACATTTCTATTTTAATTTCACTCATTATGTATAGATGAGGTGCATTTTTTTTTAACCAAATGTCAGTAAATACTAACATAGTCGATTTGTGTGTGAAAGGAAAACGCAATGTGATTTTTAACAATTAAAAATTTTGAACTTTTTTGATGAGATGCTGCTCCCATTTAATTTATTTCTACTAATTATTTAAATGTCACACAAATTGGTGCAATTTGCGCTTGGTTTTCACTTTCAAAGTGCAACCGAAAGTCAATGTAAACGCCACTCTTATCAGATCAGTAAGCATACACATTTCTGAAGCAGTGAGTGATAAGTGGCTGATGCTCACAGGATGTTCAGCTCAGTGAAAAACCAAAGTGGCATGACATCGTCATTAAACAATAGGATGTTTTCACAACTAATATCTGTTTTATAGGCATATAAAACTTGTACACAGGCCAAAAAGTTGTCTCTCTCCATGACAATCGGTGCACACACAGTGCTTTGTCAAGTAAACTGTTATCTGTAGTACTTGGTACTGTATTTTAAATGTCTGAGTGCATAAAGTCAACTGCTGTTAAATGTCACCTCGATTACAATGTTCCTTAATTTCAGACAGTAATCAAACGTTCTTTCTGCGCTGGTGAAGGTTTATTCACCTCCGTATGCTAAAACCTTTTAGAAGTTGACATGACAGGGATGTTGAACTTGTGTTAGGATTAATTTAGCAAATAGCTATTTGGCCACTTGGTGAAATATTTTATGTACAGATGGTCAAGCATGGAAAAAGAGAAAATGTAGTCTATGGTGTAAAATACTTTAATCTGAACACTGTAAATCTGTCATTTATCCTAATGCATAACCACCCTTTATGACAAAGACACAGCAAACTATCCATAGACCTCACATACATGACTGAAGTTAATATTTAGCAAAATGTGGCTTTTTCTTCACGTTCAAATCGTATACATATGAAATAAACACTGTGACGGCAGCTTGAAACTGTTCATTTCTTTATACATTTAGTGATTTATTATAAAATTTGAAAAAGGGTTTACAATGCAAACGCTAAAAGAAATACCTAAGTTTGTTACATGCCAAACCTGCAACCACAAATAGTTTCTTGTTTCTGCAGAAATGGTCTGGGAGTTTCTTATTTCTGCAGGATTAGTGTGGATGTGATGAATTGACTGTCAAAATAGATCCATTTTTCTTTCGCTGATTATTGGGCCTCTTCTGAGTGTGTTTGGATTTTGTCTGCTGATTTTCAAAGCTGGATTTAAAATTCCTGCCTATTAGTTTTGGGAACATTTTTTTTAGGCAATAGAGCATAAACAGACTAGAACAAGAAAACTGGGGTTTGTAATTATAGTGGATATGTTTACAAGACAAGATGATTAAATTTCAGCCAACTTGTGTTGAAAGGAGAAACTTGTTTTGTACAATTAAAAAGGAAAATTAAAGTCACGACTAACCTGAGTTAGAAAATGTTTTCTGTAATTTCCTCTGAAATGTTGCTAATGTCTGCTTGATGGTGAAAAAAGATGAAAACGACATACCTTTTGTTTTTATGACATGTTGAGGGACATAAATGTAGCTGACGAAGTGAAACGACGATTTTATTCACATTCAAACTTTACGTCAAAATGAAATTTGTTGGACTAGGAAAAAAATAGGAAAAATATACAAAAAATAAAAGAAATTTAAAAAAAAGAACCCGATGTCTATATTCCCAAATGGAAAAATAAACATTTAAACTATAATGAATTTTAGAAATAGATTAAAGTAAAAATAATTTAGCGGGATGTCTTTTCTTTTTTATTTATTTTTCTTTTTTAGCATGAATAAATCCAACCGTAAATGTTTTCAATCAGCTGATTTATAAGAAACAGTCATTTTGTTTAATGAGGAAACGATTTTTCCAAAGCAGTTGTACTGGCAGTGAAAAATCAACATAGTCATTGGAATAGTAAATATTTGCTTTGAATCAGACCCCGAAAGTTGATCTTTACTGCTCACTTACCTGATCAAGACGGTAAATGCAACCGTGCGTGAGATTCATCTGTTTTCCCCATCGACTAAATAAATAAATAATCTTACATCTAGAGCGTCTCTCGGGTTGGAGAACCTAACTGGTTTGTCACCATCAGATTTTTATTTGTCTTTGCAGATAAGATAGAAGAGTTAAGCAGTTACACATTTTGAGTTTTTTTTATTTTTTATTACGCTACACATTACGTCTATAACACTGAGTGACGATGATCTTAAGAATGAAATGGAAAAACCTGGGTTAATAGTCATGTCTAGTATGAATTTTTATTGTTAAGCAGTTGCATTTGAACTTCTGTTGTTAATAATTTCAGTCACTTTACATCCACATAAATATCACCATGAGTTCTGAATGGAAGCTGAGTCTTTGTGCGTCCGCCGGTCCTCTGCTGCAACGCTGAGCTGGACTCCATTGATGGTATAAGGTTTGGGCAGAGCCGAACTCTTGAGCCTGGCTTCTGTCAGACGACGACGGGCTGACTTAACATCTCGGCTGGATATTCGTGCCATTAATGGGGCCATCTTCTTCTCACAGTGACACCCGGTTTACAGTGAACTAAAACAGAGAATGGCCAGAAAATCCTCACATTTCAAATAGTTTATTGAACAAGCGTGTAACACAGATTTAGAGTTACTTAAGAACAGTCTCATATTTTCATGAGTAACTTCTACATTTATGACCATTTATTATCTCTCTTTTTATTAATAACACCGTTATGTAAGATATTTGCTTAAGGTGTAGTAATGTTCATAAACCAGTCATCATTCTCATCTGTGTCAAAATATCAATCCGCTGAATGATTTCTATGGGATGATAAAAACTATCGGTGTAAGTTTTTCTTGTTGAACAAATATTAAAATTAATCAGTATTGTTATTCAACTGCTCCAATGATTAATTTGGCATAATAAAATTAAACTAGTATAATGACAAAGATGAATAATACTCAAATTGACTGAAAAGGGAAGTTTGACAATCGAGTTGGAGTATAAATGAGAAAAAATTGATTAAATGCTGAAATTTGTCTTATTTAATTATCATATACACATAAGTATGATTGCAGTAGCATTTAGTTTGTAGTATGATTGACTGCAAACTAAACTTAAATTAGATTTTTTTTTTTACAGATTTGAGCATCAAGACCTGCTTTGTGTAATGAGCTATCTGAGATTAGTTCTGAAAAGTTCATATAACCTTTTAGAAATGTTTTTTTTTTATTTTGTTTTTGATTTAACAGGAATTATTTTTTTGTATAAATTTGAAAATTATATATATAAAAAACATCTTTCATTCTTGGATATTTATGTATTGATGTTTCCTTTCGTGTTTTGTATGCAACACCGTAAAAATTACAGGGTAGGCAGTGAATGCAGATAAAAAGGGAGGCAGGTGACTGCCAAAGAGATGACCATCAGTTTCAAGTGGCACCAAATCAGTCTGATCTTCCGGTGATGCAGAGCAAAAATGCGGGTTTTAGTTGCCGTCCGGCTAGAAATCTACCAAAGCCATTTTCAGAGAGTTTAGTGTCCATCCAGCTATATTTGCTCAATTTGTATAATTAGCACAAGCAGGAGGGATCAGTATTGATTCAAGATGTCACAGATTTGCTACTAAGCATTTGAAATGGGTGTCAATGTTCAAATTTACAGCCATAATGATATGTTCGTTGTTGTTTGCTAAAAGAAAACCTTGATTGTTTTAATTTGTTGTTTGGTTAATTATTTTTACACAGAATAGTCATTTATCTTTACAAAAGAGGAAATAAAGTTATTGTTTTGGAACGGTCAAGTTGAAGTCCAGACCTGAGTCCAATGAAAATACTATAGGAGGGCCTAATTATGCAGTTCATGTGAATTTCCTGGAAGCCGAATCGTTTAGATGAGCTGAAATTCTCAGAAGCTGCAGGACTAGTCAACACTGTGGGAGCATTTGGGTGTGGATTTTTGGTGCAGGACATTTACACCAGTAAATGAGTGCAGACAAGAATTAAACTAAATCCTTTAAGTTGTTAAACGCAATTTTTATTTTTTATTTTTTCTTCAGTTTTTTAAAACTGGAAAAAAAAAACAACAACAGCTAATATGTTTTTTTTGGCTGTACTTGAAACTTTTGTAAAAATGTCTAGGCAAATTGTTTGGTACTTTGCCAAGCAATTTCAAATATGTTTTAGTGGCAAGGTGGCTGCACAGAATGTCTTTTAAATTTGCAGTCTAGTTCCTGGATTCTCTTTGTGTGCAAGACAACAAAAAATGGGCTGCATAAAAACATTTTTGGCAAAAGTAGACAATTGTAACCTTTTGATATTTAGATACATTTTCTTGAGTTATTCATTGATTACAGGTCCAGCAGACTTTCAGTGTTACTCAGCAAAATGGTAAATTAACTTAGCTAATCTCTTAATTTTAGGTTATGTTTAAATTTAATAAAATATGAGGAAGGAGACTGCTCTCCATTTCACCACTATGACTTTTAGTTGTCATGCCGAACACCTCGTTGTTTTACTAGATTTTTTTTTAGTGTTCCTGTGCTTTACTTCTTTGTGATATAGAAGTCAAATTGAGTTTAGTTTAGTTCTTTAGTGTGAAAGTTTCTGCTGCAGCTGATGATGTGGAGGTAAACGGCCATGAAACTATTATTAAACCTGATGCATCAGATTTCATCATGCAGCCTTTCAGACTGTTGTTGTTTTCCTCCTATCTAGTTTGTTTTGCATTTTCAGCAGAGCTCTAAAAATAAATGCATCCCTCTCTTATATCCCTCACCATCTCTCTCTCTCTCTCTCTTTCTCGGACAGGAAGTTATCCTGTTCTTCTCTCTAAACACACACTTCCTGTTTCACACGTTCTCATTCAGATTTGGCTGCACCCTCCTCTGGCTCTATCCATCTTCATCTCCTTTCTCTTCTTCCATTCTTTCACTCCATCACATTTCCCTTCACCTTCCACGGTTAATGACACGGGCTGATTGAGTTCCTGCCTTATGTCCAGTGGGTTACATGAGCACATTGGCAGAACATTCACGCATAATTTCCTTTTTTTCTTTTCTGTGCTGCAAGAAGGAAGAGCTGCAGAGCGTTGGCAGTGTCTGAGCCTGTAAAATACTAAATTTATTGCATTTTGAACAAATATCATCCTTATGAAGTAGGAACTATTCTGTCCTATGAGTTTTAAAACAGTAGTTGTTGCCTATCATCGACAGGGTTTAGTTACAAAATGAAAACCTAGAATTAGCCTCATGTTCCAGTTTACGCAAGCAATACATTTTGTTTCAAGCAAAAATATATTGCTTGTAATTTCCAGAAATTATCATTCATAAAACCTTATTGTGTAGTAAGAGGAGCCTTGAGGCTCCAGCTTATGTCCTTTTTCTTTTCTCTTGTGGTTCATTTTAGAGAGAAACTGAATTCATATGAGTTGCAGCAATATTTAATTTCCCTTTGGGATCAATAAAGTGTTTTTGAATTTGAATTCAGATTTTTACGTCTGGATGTTCATAAACATACCCACGCATTGTGTCTACAGACAGAAATGAGCCTAAGCTAAATCCTTTTTGCAAAAAGTTGTGTAAGTTAGAAATGGAATGGAAATATTAGACATCTTTGGCACAATAATTTGGTATGCAATTAAAAAAGAAGCACATTAATTATCATCCCATCCTGTGTGATTTTTCTCATGTCCCTCATAGGGGACATTGCAGTTTTCATTACGGTTTATGAATGAGCCTTGTGGAAAATCTTCTCGAAACTGGATTTATGCTTTGACCTAAACCATCCTGCTGTAGCTCTGGATGGACTTTTTATGGTTGTTGTATTAATGGAAGAGAGCTTCTACCCCATACTCAGTTATTTCAACTTTATCTGTCCTTCCATCGACTCTGACCAACTTCTCTGTTCTTGGTCAAGATAAAACATGGCGACAGCATGATACTGCAACCACCATGTTTACAGGGTGATCTGCAAGCACGCTTTGCAGCCCATTGAAGCAATTGGCTTCAGTGTTGCCGTGCTGCACAACTGTTGGGTCAGCTGGTCTCTCTAAATTGTCCTGAGGTGTTTGTGTGCAGGGTTGTTTGTCCTGCATGTTTCTATATTGGACTGGTGGCCTGTGCAGAGTGTGTCCCACCTCTCACCCAATGAGAGCTGGGCATTGGCTCCCTGCACCCTGCAAGGCAGATATAGCTGATGATGGCTTTAATAGTTTTGCTTTAGCCTGCTTTTGGTAAGACGGTGTGTGTGTGAAGTTGACAAATGATATGCAAATCAAGGAAGTTCCATCATTTTTTTTTTCCTTTTATGTAAACTCTTCTTTTGATGCTGCATCCTCTGGCGATGTCAGTCACAACATCCTCATAGTTTAAGAGCCCTGACATTGTGCCAAGTTTTTAACTGTTGGTTATTGTGCTCATTCCTTTCAGAAGGTGATTTTCCCATCTGTCTGCATGGCTTTACTTCCTCCAAAGCGCTCCTGAGCTGTAGGTATACTGTCAGATTTCTTGTGAGATGCTGCCTGTAAAACAAAGTTTCTAATGAATTACTTCTCGACTGGAAGTAAGAAGTAATTTGACACATTTGAGTGTCACTTTTCAGTTTCAGTGGAATACTGGAGTTGTTTTCCCACATGGTGCTGATACAAAAGCACAGCTTCTTCTAACCAAATGAGTCTCAGTTCTTGATTTTAAAAACGTTCGCTGCAGTCTGAAGTTTGTGTCAGTGTTGCTAGGAAAGACTTTTTTATTTGCTCCTTCATTATATTGACCTATTATTGTTCCTCAGCTTATTCTGTTTCATGGAAATTGTGTTGCAAATGATTATTTATCTCATAAAACTCATTAGCATCAGCTGTTAATGAGTTGTTAATATTTTTTTTCATTCTTTCTGGCCTCTAGCTTTGGTAGTTATTGTTCACAACACATTTTTCACAAATTGTCATTCACAATCATCAGAGGTGTTGTGTTTTACTGTCTGAGTTTAAGTAAGTAACTCATGACTTAAAAACACTTTGTTAAATATCTGAAATTGTATCACAATTTTAATTTTTTCTGTTTAACTTTTACAGAGATTTCCAAAGCTCATCTGAGTGTAAATTTGCATGTCCTTTAATGGCAGCCTAACCATATTTTTTGGCATAAGAAGTAACTGTTATCTGTAAATCAACATAAGATAAAAGTCCTGCTTTTCCTTCAAGGTGGGAGGTAGCGGACCAAGCAGGCAAAAAGTTGTACATAAACACAGATCGGCTGTCAGCTGATATGTGTTTATGTAGTTTGCTACAGTGGATTCAACATAAGACATTTTTTTGCTGGGTGTATTTTAAGCTACTTTATTTCCTCATGTCACCTCATCTGGCAGTGCTTGATGAGCAACAAATTCTGTTTTCTAAATAAAGTAGAGTTATAACATTTAGGTAGAATTAATGAGAGCCGTTTGCATTATCTGCTTGTTTTATTTATGTGACTGTGTAGGGATTTGATTGCCAACTATTTCTATTGCTTTTTATTTGTAAGACATGGATGCAACTGGACGCTATAGGGAGACTTTGCATCCTCATTTGGTTTCAAA